CCTTCCTGTAAAGATAAGTGGTTTGTATGTTAGGGAGATTCGTATCCTTCTGTCAAAGATATGCTCGTAACATTAATGTTATCAACACCAATGATATTCTAGGGAGGACAGTACTCTGGATATAATACTACTTTTAGGATACCGCCTTTTCTTAAAAGAATGCTACTACTGATACATCACAGGAATTTGTAAAACAGTTATCTCCTCATATTACAGCCAGGATTTTAACCCATTCAAAAATAAGGTAGGGCAAATGAGAAGACATCAGTGTAGTATGAACAATGGTTCTATTCAAATAACAAAACGTCCAATGTTTCATCCACCCCAAAGTAATATTCGGGGTACATGCCTTTAGCTCACTACATACTACTGCGGATATATTATTACGCTTAATAGAATAGTGCCCCCTATATAAAAGCACTTTATGTATATGGAACCCCTTCAAATAATGGTTCTGGGGAGACATGCATTATCATTGCACAGCTCTCCTTTGCAAATAAGAATACTACGCACACGTGAGATGGCTTACAGAATATAGCCCCAGATCATCCATAACTTTTATGGAGATGTGGTGTTCAAACAACAATACTCTGAAAATATCATTCTAGTTCATCTGTTGGTACATTCATATAACAGTACCATGAGGAATTCCGCAATCTTCCTGATTGAGAAGGCACAGACATCAGTACTCTTTAGGGAATATTTCTCCTGGGATATTCATGCACTTCACAAAATACTACTTTCCTTATAATGGAAGCCTACCTCAGCAACTCGTTCACATAGACGACTACAAAAGCATCAGGACACTTGACATAATAGTATAACCATACATCCCAACGATACCGCGGCGTTATAAGGGGATATGACTACCGTATAAATAATGGTACCCTAAGCGTGCCTGTCCTCTTCAAATAACTACTTAATAAGTGCGTTAGTACCCTCCATATATCAGTAGTACCCACAATGGGGTATTCTTCATACGCTGACATTAAATGATAGTTCTACTTCCTCAACAAATACCGTGTTCAAATACTAGAGCTGTCAAAACAACAGTAGGTTTTACCTCGTAGTAATCCATCGATATAATTACTGCTGAAACAGTAGAACCCCAGGGAGAGCTGTGCATATCACGCATTAGCATATTGTTCCCCTCTGGTGTTCCTAACAGGTCAATAGGGTCATCCTACTTAACCTTCACAGGTAAGGCCATCGGAATAAGAGAGTAAAGGAAGAAAATATATATTCATGAGGACGCTACTTATAAGAGAAAGAAATAAGTTGATGAAGATTCCGCGGAATGAAGGGTTTATGATAACGAGGAGGACATACATATGGATATCTTCAAAATGACACAGCAAAACAAAAATCTTCATAATGAAGCCCCCAGAAGAACATCTTTCACGATGATAGATTCAAGAGGAAATCAAAACTATGATGCTGCCAATGACAAATTTGCAAAATGATGCGCCAAAGAAGAATGTGCACAATGAATCAGCAAGAAAGAAATCTCCACGATGACGTGGCCAAAGAGACAACTTGACCATGAGGAACCGGAAGGGACATGTTCATAGAAGAAAGTACACACAAAACGAAATCTTTAGTTGAGTGCAGAAAAAGAATATTCATAAAAAAAATTACATATAGGAGAGAATCTTCACGATGCCGCGGAGATGGAGCACCTTCATAAAGGAAGTTAGTGACAGTAAAACTTCTTCACAATAACACGGAAAAAGTACTTCTTTAGGATGACGTGCGAAATAACATGATCAAGATGGCACAGGGAAAAACTATCTTCATGAAGTAATGCATCACAAAAAATTATCTCGTAGTGAAATGGCCGAAGGAAGGAGCATCTTTGTAGAAATGCAAAAAGAAAAAATCTGTTAAGTATGACGCGATAAAAAGAATCTTCGTAAAAAAATGCAACACAGAGGAAAATGTTGACAATGACGCGACACAGGACATCATCAGGAGACTTGAGAAGAAAACTGCCGTCAGAAAAAAATGCAGAACAGAGAAGAATCTGCATAGTAACACAGCAGAGGAAACCAGTTTTATAAAGATGGCACGCAAAAAAATATATTCAGTACGATTCGGAGAGATGAATCTTCGAAGAAGAAAATGCGTAACCAAAATGATTCTTTACAATAACGCGTCAAGAGAAAACAAAACTCGATAAAGATGCGACAGGAAATATCACCTTGAAGAGGATGATACACACATGAATATCTTCATATTCACGCAGGAGAAAGGAGTGACCAAACAGAGATGTCACCCGGAGGAACATACTCATAATGACATGGAAAATATAAGCATCCTTAAAAAGATGTGACACAGAGAAAAAGCATCACAGTGAGGTAACACAAGAACAGCGCAATGCCCCGGAGGGGCAGCACCATAAGCAGACAGGAAAAGAAGGCATCATCATGAAACAACGACACGAGAAGAAATCGTGATGAAGATCCAACAAATAAAGGCATCTTCATAAGAATACTGCGAGAAATGTCATCATAAACAAACTCTGCAGAAAAATTTCGTCAGAGGAATGGCGAAGAGAGGTGTATTCTCATGAAAAAATTAAATAGAAAAATATATATAATAGAGCCGGACGAAACAACACGCGTGCGACAGATATAACACATGAAAGGACCCTGCCAAGATTTTATCCCCATGGAAGCACATTGACAAGGTTAAGCCAAATGATGCCACAACCGGGGAAAATTACACCACATGGAAGGGCGTTCGCGAAAATTAGGTCACATGAAAACCACGTTCGCGAAGATTAGGTCACATTAAAGCATGTTCGCGAAGATTAGGTCACATTAAAGCATGTTCGCGAAGATTAGGTCACATTAAATCACGTTTGCGAAATTATCCAACATGAAACTACGTTCACGAAATTACCCAACATGAAACGACGTTCGCGAAATTATCCAACGTAAAACCACGTTTTCGAAATTACTCCACGTGAAACCGCGCTCGCAACATTGGGGCATATGAGGCCGCCTATATATGGAAGAGGCGCCATGGAAAAATACTCTCATAAGAATGCAGAAACATGATAAAACATACACCGGAGGAATGCAACAAGCGAGAGGATACTACTGAGAATATTAGAACATCAAAGAACACCCTCACAAAAAGGATGGGGCAGGAAAACGCATTCACAACAATAAGGTAATTATAAAAGGAGCCATATAATCGCGACGGCTCACCATTTCACGCTGTACCCATTGGATCTGCATATCTCTATTCCATTGTACTCATTGCAGCTTCCACAGGAAGGCATCAACACAGTTAAACACAATAACAGTCTTTTCAATCATATGCGACATGCAATTAGAGTTCAATAAGAAATTAGAACTCATATTATACTACTTCAAATTCTACAATCCATTATTCCCCCTATATATGAATAGATAAAACACGTCATGACCAATCGTGTAATTTTAGGGGGAACATTCTTATGTCAAATAAACAATCTTCTAACCTGAATTTGTATATAATGGTAACTATGTTTTTCCTGTGCTCAAAAAGGTTTAACCACCGGTACCATTCTGTTTCTTTCTCGTTGAGCTCCTGTGTATCCCTCTGCTGTATTACGCCAGATGAGCATCATTATTCACCAGGTTAACAGCTTCTATTCCTAGGATAGATGAATTAATCCTATATATAAAAGGGAAAATATATATCTATATGTATGCATATCCTGGGGTATATGTTCCATGGTAACGTGTAAAACGCTCAAAAAAAAATAGAATGTTATTGATAAATAATAGCAATCTATAGAGACAGGTAATTTACCTGTACTTCTTCAGCCAACATCCTCTTTATGTTTCTCGGAATCGATGTACCCTCAGTTCAGACTCATAATGTAAATTCCCTTAACACTTCCAAATGAGGGATTCCGTATTTCCTCTCTTAACTTATTACAGTTCATGATATGCGGAATGGAAAACTCGGTTATACTCACATATATTTGTTATTCTCAGTTGGTTTTCATGATTCAATGCTGGAATTTCTTCTTAATCTCTATGATGTATTCGTTGTAATATATTATAACGACGGGCACAATACTTTCACTATCTCTGTCCCCTCCTGTATCCTATATATCTTGGGGTAATCATAATCAATTGGTACGTCATTATTCTTGTCATAACCTATCCATCTCAGTTTCCTTCTGATTGACATACATTGATTGCTTTGTAGGCCCGGTTGCTCTACATACAAACGTAATACTGGTATTTTTCTGTCTCGTCCTCTGCTAAATTTTGCCCATAATACGTAATCCTCTCGACGAAATTAATCAAACCGCGTTAGCATATTCCCAGTATTGAACGGCTCCCTTAACCGGTCAAGAGGAATCCTTAGATAGAATTATTGCAATCTTCCTTCTTCTCATCCTCCTATTGTACGTCGAAGAAGGCTTAACTCTTATTCTTCAAAGTTTTACTTAATTCGATTCTGTTAATCCTTTTATTCAGAATTAACGTGCTTCCTAATTAATATTAAATTCATGTAGCAACAGATTTAACGATTGCATTCAGATTGGCATAAGATCCACAGCTCATTTTAAAACTCAATACTCAGAGGGGTATGGTTCTCTCAGAAGATATCAGATTAACACGAGTGAGTCCCGCACCATAATAAGAGATAACTACTCATTTCCTGAGAAAATTATTAATTGAATAATTAGCAGAAATGTCTTCCACAGTTCGTTTCTGACTTGAGGGAATCATGTATTCTGGATAAACATGGCTTCTTACCTGGGTTTCCACTCCGCCATCATAGTTTCACACTACAATGAATACACATTAATGAAGGATGTGTCTAATATTACAAAATGTATCAAAAAGAGGATAAAAAAAGAAGAAACCGTAATAATTCCTCCAATGTTTCACTCCTGGAAACCACCTATTGAGATATATAAGCTAGATATTTATACGTAAATCTTACTTATCTCAGCCGCCCCACTCCAGAGAAATCACGCTAAGTACTTTCTTCGAATGATTCATTATAATTGTCACATATTGTTATCAGGAGTCTTTGGCAATTATTTATTCATTTTTCAAGATTGCCAGACGAATCACCACTTATCGTAATGAACTTTGCTTTGTACATTGTCCACTTTACCAATTTCTACTTTGTACGTGGATTTTCACAATGACGAAATGAACCTCTCCCCCAAAGGAAGGAACCAGTACAAATTACATTTCACGAAATATAAAGGAAACAGAGAATTAATACTACATACGGCTAGGGAACAGGATTCCTTATGGTACACCTAATTCTTGTTTTAACAGCCTGGAAACATCATGCGCCACAATCGCGTATCACACAACAGCAGAATCTAGCTTCTATTCGATGCAAATCCCAAAACTATCCAGTCTCCGTATATTGGACAATACGACTAGGAACCTAGGCCTAAAGGAGTATTATTAACAACTTCCCCTGTGTACTATACCTCGTATGTCCATTCTGCAACATAACCAATCTCAACGCATATAAATAATACATTCACTCATAAAATTAATTATGCACTTTTAACTTTATTCATATATGCCCGCAAATGTATGCAACTCTAACCTGAATATAAATAACATGTCTTTTACAGTTATCAGGATATTATTCAAGACGCTCAGTCGTTCCAAATACTATACACACAAATATGTCATTCTAGACCCCAAGGTACCGAATGCGCTGGGCATATATTATACGACATCTACAAAACGAATTAACGAATAAACTGGAGAGGAACTGCGGAGAATCAGTGATTCCTTAGCGATCATTGACCATTTGGATCCTCACCTAGCTTTATACAAATATTACCATGAATTCGATACATAAAATGAAAAGGATTCCCTGTTACGGCAGAATTCTTCAAAATATAGGTTCGCAGTACACGGGACGGAAGTCATAGTATTTTTTTTCCATTCTATGGTTCATAGAACAAGAACAATTTCGAATGAAATCTTGATTCAAACAGAAATGATTAAGAAGAATCAGCAGCTACCTGGAATCTGACCATGGTTTCATGATTCACAGATTTGATTAATGAAATCCAACTGGAAATATAAGAATTTCAGGAATACGTATAAGAGGAAGTTACCTAATCACTCGGAATCTTCATGAACAATTTGGCTTCAAATAACTCATAAGAAATAATAATAAAGCTCTCGAAGGCTATTTTAGTCACACATGATCGTACTGCATATACAATGGAGTACGCTTAAAAAAGAATTGTTATATTGGCTAAACAGACATTAGGTGACTTTTCATTTCTGACACAATACGGTTATGTCAGCATTCGTAAATGCATTACAGAATGGTGGCCATGGCGACAATAGCATAAACATTTCTTTCCTTTTATTGTCCCATATACTTCTCATTATTTATACTATTGGTACGATGTCCTCAGGAAAATCTGGCTTATTAAACGACTACTATTGCATATACAAAGTGATACACGTTTTCTTCATATGTACACACTCTCAACCTCTTATAATTTAAGAAAAGAAACAAAAGCGTCATAAGGCTTAATAGTTCTTGTTAGTAGTTACTTCAACTACATGTACCTTTTATACCGCTAGAGCTCTTAAATAGGATGTGCAGATAGTTTATGTATTCGCAACATAGTTATGAAGTCAGTTTCTTTCTTATTTATATCTTTCTATCAATCATACTTATCAAGTAATTGAAAATTACTATTTCTTCCTATAAATATGCTCTTCCCATTAGAAGGCTCTTTAGGAATTTCATTAACTTCTACCCTAATTTACATGTAAGGATCAGTTTAAGAAGTGATTAGCATCCTGCCCTTTTTTTCTATTCTTCCATATTTTTCTCAATTTCGGGCGAATGACAGTTAACACTACGGATAGGGATGCCTTATTTGAGGACACTTATGAAAATCGTTCTACTTTTTCAAATTACACAACTTTCGTCTTGCACTCCTCAAAAGACAACACTCTATTCTAACGAATTATAACTACAATGCATTCGATGAACCAGAATGTAATGTATAACTTCATATAATTGGACTAAATATGTGTTACTATTCCTTTGCAATTACTCTGCATCTATCTTGGAAAGGACATTTTTATAGCAAGACTCAGCAACAGTAACTACATGTCCACAGGGTACTCTGTCTTCGCCTCTCGTCCAATTAATATAGAACATATGTGAATAGGCTGCTTATAGCGTAAGCTAGAGGGAAATTCCCAAATCCTGTCGAATGGTTTGCCAATCTGAGCATATATCCCGCACAAAATTAAAAAGTAAAGATTCTTTACCTTGTCTGCCTTAATGCCTAATTCCCTCATTAATCCTCACATATGTCCCCAAAACGTTATTCATGCTGCGATACGCATAATACAAAAGATAAAATGAGATTCCAATATAACTATAGAAACAGTGGTACTGACGCATACAACTTAAAATTGTATTATTACATATTACAATTACTAAGTACAGACATGAAGGTCCATAATGGTGAGCATTAATACTTATGGTATTCCCTCTCTAAATCAAATGTATATCTATAGACTGTTTATGTCTTGTATTATAATACAACATTATGAATATCCTCTCTCATATTACCTACCTCTTAGAGTAAAACCTATCCTTGAGTCACTACCAGAATTCCGCACTTCAATGTATATATATGCCAACGGCATTCCCCCTAATTTAAGCATCCTTTTTCATATTAAGGAACAATAGCGGCTCAGTACAGTATGCACATTGACCTTGTAACTTCTCAGTTTAGATAAGAATCCTCATACTTCTCTAGAAGATATTTAGTGGAAATAATCAATAGCCTTCTTATGCATAATAACCTCTCAGTAAAACATAGCATGAAAGAAATGATTCATAAAAATCCCTCATAAATAAATATAAATACTTTCATTAATAACTATATTAACGCGCTCAAATAAAATATATTAATTAAGAGTTATGATATCCTCTCTATTTCCTAATAATCAGATTTAAACCGGATGTCACTATTCTTCATACTTAAACGACAGTTGCCTTTATGTAATGTTACGGATAATAGTTTATACACAACATAATTAAGAAGTACTGGTGAGATTATCGATAATTGGGCTTCGCCTCCTCCTATACTATCATTATAGTGGAGAATTCGTTTTAGTAAAAACAACGTACCCCAGGAGATTCTTTCAACCCCCTGAGGGTCTGTTATATTCTTATCTGAAGAACAAAGACGCCCCTTTCTTTCATTAGAGGGGGTGCATTCTTCCGCTAAATTTCTTTTTAATATTCATAGAAGCCTTCCCCCATGCGCATACAAATAGATATAAGAAGTGAATATCGCAAATTGACAAGAAATAAGAAATATTTAAGATATTCTTATCACAGATTGGGAACACATTTTCTTGCAATTTAATAATAGAAATGCTAACAGCCATCTCACGGCTAATTATCTGCTTTCCTGTTCCAAGTAGTAGCAATAAGTTACTGATACCTATGGCATTTTACACCTAAAAAATCAGCCGAATAATATCTCCACAATGCGGGTATACACTATAATATATAATAGTCATAAATATAATTTTATAGAAAAAGTATGTTTATTCAGACTGCACACAACATTAATACAGAACGGTAATCAAACAATTCCGATATAACCGATGGATTGTCCGCGATGACATTATCATCGGCATATATTGTAAGCATAAGTAAAAAATCTCTCAATTTCGTCTGAACTATGGGAATGACCCCAACAAATGAGGGCTATTTAGATCTGTGTACATAAGGAAACATATAAATTAGCACCGCAATATTAATCTTCTACCATCCTGAGACGGCTTCCTAGCTCTGTCTGTAGGAAGAAAATAACAAAATCTATACTATTTATCCGCCTCCTTCTGTCTGTATTTCAAGGTGGTGATATCAAAATGATAGACTCTGTTCTGCATGATAAAACATAAAATACGAACAGTCATAGTATGAATATATCACAGTTGTTCCTGAATAGCAGTAATAAGCAGGATATCTCTCACTGCCATTTTTATTATCCTCAGATAAATACAAGGAATGATCTAATGGGCGTCACATATACATATATTTTCTATGAGCACACAAGCATTCCAACACAGAAGTGGAATTCATAACCGGCAACATATCTCCTCTAAGAGTGGATCGAAATGTTGTGCAATACTCTCCTATAGCCGCCTGGACTCGGAAGTCGATTGTAACAATTCCTTGTAGAAGCAGGAAATCAAGTGATAAATACAAATCATTCAACTTCTGTTGGCACATTTCAATAAAGACATTCAAAGAATTGTGAAGCAGCAAACGTATTGTGTACCTCTCCCCTAATATCCATCTTATTAAGAAGAATTCACTAGTGACCTAGACGAACAAGAGGATACACATCTGAATATGAAACACAACTCATGGGCAAGAGATCTTACAACAGTATAGATTAACATTAATATAGATGAATATGTGCTGTATAATCTGGCGCGTCATCGCTGCATGTATAACTCCCCGATTTTACGAATATATCCTATGGGAAAGGGATGAGAATAAGACAGACAAGGAAATAGCACTAGGTCAGTAAGACTGTTGTCCCTCTGTATATATCTCAATACAGGAAACGGACCAAATCTGAACATTGATTGCTCCGTATCTTTATATTAAGACACTTAAGATATATTGAATATGGGCAGGTTAATAAAGAATCTAGAAATATCTCACTTATTCCCTCTTCCCACACAACTGAAAAGACAACATAGAGAGGAACTAGGAGAACGCGGCGTAGAAAGAGGCAAACAGCGCAACATTACGACAAGGACGAGGAGATGATAAAGTAAATCCGAAAGGGGAGAACAGAACCTGGAGGCGCAAAGTGGACAATGATGCTTCTGAGGCGCTGTTTAGCGTCCAAACTATAAATCCGGAGCGGAAAGCATTAAATGGTTAACCGTAAAGAATAGACCTTAGGGGCTGATGACACAATCAGAAATAGGAAGGATATGCATTTACCCATATAGCTTGCAGAATAAATCATACACCACAAAGACTCGACCTTGGAACCCAAGTAATACACCCCATATCAAAACATTAAAAAGTAAAAACCAAGCAATACAACATGGCGCCCCAATTAATACCTGTAAAAGCTGCACGTTGTCCCTAAGGCAAAAACCTTTGGGAGAATACCCTTAAGAATAATAGGACGAAATTCACAACAGCACCTTGCAGTATGAGCCATAACAAATACAACTGAGCAGTGAACAGTACACATAAACTATAAAGCGTAAAGATAAGGCGTCCAGGGAGAACCGTACATTTCATCGGAGATAAGTACACGCTAAGGGTATCCCCTCAGGGGTAAACAGTAAAGCTGAATCCGCAACCATGAAATTTGAACCCTATACCGTCAGAATCCGAAACAGGATCATGAGACTAAGCCGGTAGGAGATAGGACCAGATGGCCGAAATGAGGCGAAACATCTAAAAAATTAACCGTAGGGATAAAAAGTAAAGCGTACCAGTACACCGTAAATCATAAGACTCACCGATAAACAGTGGAGGCTGAACCATGTAATCTGGAGCTTAAACACCAAAAAATACAACCCAAAAGCTAGGCCCTACATCGTAAGACCCTGAAGATGGTCACGAGACACCTAAGGCCTAATTAGTGAACCTCAGTCGTCTACAGTTACTTATCGCACCCTACAGGTGAACCCTAAACAGTAGAAGCAGCAACTCGGCAACAAACTTAAAGATGCGGGCGTACACGTAGAGGATAAAGCCTGGCCCGTAAACTCAGGAATGGAACCATAAGGATAAAAGATAAAGCATGAATCCTAAAAATTAAGAGGGACAGAGTGCACAATACACGATGAAAACCTACAGAGCAGGAATGAGAACAGAAAGCCTGACAATGGATAAAACCCGGATGAAACGGGTGCTTACACAGTGGTGCGTCGATCCGTACAATAGCTGGCTGAACACGGAGCAGTACAGGTAGACCCTCTAAAGACAGCTGTACTCTTTAGCACTATTCCATAGACTATGAGCCATAGAAATTACAGAGGGCTAGCAAGGGAGGGATGCAAACAGATAGGACACAGACCTAAGAAATAATAAGAAGAAGTTAAGGCGTAGGGAACCGCAGCAGGGGCAAAGATTACCGAACATGCCATGGACAACATATGATCATGGAGGGAGGGCTAAACTGACAAAATAGAGCGACACTGTAGAACTCCCAACTCCACGCCTAACCAGTCCATGTGCACGGAACTACATGAAGCCCACGTGATCCTCACTAAACAATAGGAAATAAAAACGACCCCATGAATGTTAGAGCCTAGGATTTAACAAAACAGGAAAAAGCCTTAAATTCCAAACCCTTAATCATAGAGCGGAAAGTTGGACGCTGTAACCTAGAGGATACCCCCTAAAGGATGAAGAATAAGAAATGAAAACTAAAGGCGAGTGGGATAACCAATAAATATACAGACGGAGAAATAGGCAGTCAGGTGATAAGGAATAGACTCTGAACTGACATCACGAAGTATCAGCCATATGGATAAAGCAGAAATGTGTAGTATACACCTGAGAGATAACCCCAAAACCGTGAGAGATGAGGTGTTAGCGGGAGGACGAGAAACCGAAAATATGAGCCCTAAAACATAGAACGTGAACCGCCAAATCCGAAACATTATACATTGAACATAAGAGGTAGAGCGTAAAGGAAACAGTCTGAGAGCAAAAAAGTGAAGTATACACCATAATCCGGCAGCTACCAGCGATGAAAAGAACCCATAGAGCCTAAATCTAACAATTCCACCTCGCCCGTAAATATACCCCCAGGGACAGTAGATCTGTACAGTAAACCTAACAAAGAAGCCGACAAAAGTACCACTAAAACCCCCGACGTAAAGACAAGCCCATAGAACCTGGCGCTCTGAAGACGAAAGCGTACACCGTAAAATTTACCCCCTAAAGAGCAAAGTTAAATAGAATCCAATAAGTTATAAAATCTAAATCCTATATCATAAAATGTAAATATGAAACCTGAGACCTGGACATCCGAAACTACAGACTAAAGCAAGCAAAGATCCTTAATGAAGCCCCTCCAACGGGAGGATTCCGGGGCAGGAGGTCATCATTAACACCAAACATGACAACCAATACATGATAAGAGACCACCGGGGCACGCCAGAGGAAGAATCCACACCTATAACGTTAAACAATACACCGTAGAGACTAAATTCTAAACAGTACGGGTAAACCGGCAGTCCATCTGCGTTAAATAGGGCCTGAATATTATCCCTAACATTAAATCCAAGAACAGGACAAGTAAGACCCAAACGTGAATGATGAACACTAGACTTGAATCAACTTCCCTGAAAACAAAGGTTTAGACGATGCAGCCCAAGAACTGAACTTTACGGGGATCACGATAAGACTGCCTCCTAAATCCAAAAGACTGAAGATTAAACCCTGACACGTAAAGGAAAAACCATGAGAGCAAAAAATAAGGCGTATAGCCTAATCATTAAAGCCTATCGCCTAACCACGGTAACCTGAATCCTAAAGCCTGAATCCGAAACATTAAACATAGAACCTAAACGCTGATCCCTGAACGATAAACCCTGAAACCTTGAAGCCTAAAGCGTCAAATCTACAACCTGAGCCCTAAACCTTGAGCCCTCATCCGTAGATCCTAGGAGCGTAGACCCTGGCACCTGAACCTTGAATCCTAAACGGTAAACCCTAAGAGATAAAGTCTAAACCCTAAACCTAAACACTAGACGCTAAACCGTAAAGCCTAAACACTGAACCCTGAACCATAAACCCTAACCCTAACCCACAGACTCCGTAGTTTAAACTTAATATTTGATCCCTGAACGAATCTCATAAACCCCAGACCGTCCAGGACCCGCCTCCAGCAATAACTTCAAAAACTCCTGCCCCTCCGTGCGCTCCCTCCCCCCCCCGGACGTCAGCTTTGTCTTATTCTTCTCGCCTACCTTAGAATCCGCCACGTGCTTCGGGTGCCTTCGCGTCCCTTACTGGCAAATCTTCCTCTTAAGAAAATACGGTAATATCCATACAAACCCAATGCGAATAATAAGGAACTAGATAACCCTCCTACTATCGCTCCGGGTGAGAAACTCCCATACGCATTCCCTTCCAAATCCAAATCGGATCCCCCCCCCTCGGGCCGATCCAGTTCTGGTCTTGTCTGTTCGATAACCTGTCCGTCCATTCCGCTGCCATCTTTGACTGGTTTCGCGGAAGTGGGGGTTTTCTCTCCATTTACCTGGCTCCCGACTTGGGCAGTGGTTTGTGGAACTTCACCAGGGGTGTCTTGTTCAGTGTTCCAGCTCCTATCTAAATGGCCCAAACACTCCTCAATTGTGCTGTTACATTGGCCCAGGCTGCTCCCTGTATTCTCCCCCGTAGTATATTTCCTGTGCCCGAGTGATTGTCCACTTCCCTCATCAAAATTATACGTACAGTATAGAGCCTTATCTCCTTTGTCATCTCCATACAGAAACTCACTTATTCTCTCATATAAATCCCCCACTTTTAAGCCAAAGAGCCTTGATCTAGGGGGGGAGTTCCCCTGATCTAGAAACCAATCGTCCATTATTTGATTAGCTATCTGGACTCCTCCCCATTTCTTCACTATGTCATAAAACTTCCCACATGGATTCCCCTTGGCCACCTGGCTTGCATCCCTAGCCCCCGTATTAGTCATGCCAAAGACGCCTAATAGAATTGTTACCAATTCCCTACAAGCAAAGAACTCCCTTTGATATCTATTATTATCCTTATATTCTCTTTGACCTTTGAAGTGGCTCCATTGTAGATCTCCGGCCGATCCCTGACATGCTTGTGTCCTCCCTCCCGTTCCACGACCATAGCCTGTCGCTCCTGGGGTACAGTTTCCAGACTCATACGTTATGATCCCTTCTTCTGTTCTCGTTAAATTCCAACCCCATACATCCAACCCCATACAGACGCCGCTGGAATACTTCCAAACACTCTCCACCTTGGCCTCCTGACCTTCGAATGCCTCGTTAATCCCTTGCCATCTTGTCAGTATTGTTGGGGAACTATTTGTTTGACTCCTTAGCCTTGAAGCTCCTCCACCCTCTTGGGTGTGCGGGATGCTACCTCGGTTGGTCCCCCCTGCTCCTAAAACTTGTTGCAGATAGTCACTTACTCTCCAATTGCTCATTTCTTCCTGTTCACTCTGTGGTCGGGCACTGGTCGATGTTAATTGGATGATCTGGCTCCTCTATCTGAACGATAGATTCTGACATACTTCGTATGCTCCTCTCTAACTTCAACGACGCTTCCGGTCCAAGCTTATCTTTTGCCTGTTTGAGGTTCTGTTTTCCTGAGCTATCCTTCCCCTCCGTCTGCTCCTTCGTTGCTGTGGTAGATTGTTAATCTTCTCCTGCTCCCCCCCTTTTGTGAGCTTCTGATTTCTTCCTGCTTCGTCCTGTTCTATGTACCCCGGTCAGACTCAGTTTCACTTAGATCCGTTGCTCCTTATAACGAATTCAGACGATCTCTCCCTTATGTTAGAAATTGCCCCCCCTCCTTCTGCGCCTAGGACCTAGGTGATCTCACTTACTTTTATTCTACGAAGCCCAGTGATTGTCAACGGCTTCTTGCGCTTCACTAGATCTCTTCAATTTATCCTCCTTCACTCTTAACTCTTGTGCTTTCTATTGGTCCCCCCTGCGGTGAGTTGATGGGGTTCATATCCCTGACACAGGGTACAGAATTTTTCCCTCGTCCCCTCCTGTTTTTCTTGCCCTATTGCCCTGCTGTTGTTGAATAACACTATCTACTCACCACTTGCCTTCTCTCACGTGGGATCGCCCTGGCCCCTTGGTGTACTGGAATTCTGTCTACGAGGATTGACTGGTACTCCGGAACCCGCCTTTTCTGCCTACAATAAAATACTGTTGCTCTCCTTATTCAGCAGGAGCTACTCCCTTCTCTGTTAGACCCTCTTGAACTTATCTGAAGACCCAGATTTCGAGAGGAGTGGGACTCCTTCCTAGGATCTTCCTTCTAACTCTACTTCGTGGTACAGTGTTCCCCCGGAGCCTCCATGGAGATGGAGAATGAAGAATTTTTCCATATCTGTGTTGCTCCCGATGCTTTTTTAGAATTGGATCTTACCCCTGTATTTTTCGCGGATTGCTTCTGTCTTAATCATCGTTAGTTCGCTCACTACTAATTTACCGCCTGAGGATTAGCCTATCTGATAGATTCTTTCGGCTTAGGACCTTATCGTCATCTATTCGTCCACCCTATTTCGTCCTCATTTCCTTCCTAAGACCTCTCGTAAAGAAACGGTTTTTCCCCCTCTGTCACATTTTTCATGATATCCCGCCTCTTTTGAGGATAACTGGTCCGCTTTCTTCTCCAACCAAAGCCCCGTCAGCCCTGAGTTTCCTCTATCTCGTCCTTACGATTTGTGGCCACATTCTTTCTTCTGTCATCTGCTCCACGATTTCCCCTAGTCCTATGACGCTTTGCCCTCCTGTTCTACTTATCTTCGAGTTACGAATGATTTGGTCTTCTCATATGGAAATTAACTCCTGTTCCTTGTTTGAATTTTTTGTCTCTTTGGCCTGGACCCGTTGTGCCTGATTTCCTATTTATATTTTTCCCACAGGGAATTGGTAGTTCCTATGAATTACTTCGGCCGTGATTCTGTTAGGATTCGTCGTTGTCTATTCTGCATTTTTCCCCTAATTCCTACTACTCCTATATTCTCCGAGGGGTTTTATGGGAATGGGTCGCCCTGGCGTTGGTTGCTCCTTGCTTTAATGGGAATTTTGGGGCTCATATCTCCCTCTTTTACCAATCACGCCATGTCCTTCTGTTGAGGGGATCGGTAGCACCTCCCCTTAATTAGTTTTGCCAGACTTCTTTGTGGTTCTGCCGTCGACTAGGATTGTCCATCAGATACTCTTTACGTTTCTAGTTGTCTCCTCCAGCGGTGTCTATTTTTTGTCTAATTCTTCGGCTATCAGTGCTGTACCCGTTTGTAGGAATTCCTACTTGGACTCCGATGTATCGTAGCCCTAGGGTACCCTTCTCAAACTGAAGACTACCCTGGATCCCTCCGTTGTCCTCCTTAGAGTAGATTTTGATTTCTCCTGATAGACTGAAATCTGTTTCCAGGCGTATCTGTCAAGCTCTTCCACGATGGGAGTGGGGTCGGAAGAGGTAAGACTGCTGTCATGTTACTTAAGCCTCTAGAAGAAACTTTTGAATCTTTTCATTTGGTTTCGGTTATGGTCATATAGGCTTCCTGAACTTCAGAGAATCAGGTTCTTCTTTCATCACCTCTTTGACTTCTCCGTTTAATCGGTATCATAAATAGAGAGACTAATTGTCCCCGTTAGTCTTCCCCTTTATTTTCCTTTTCCTTAGTAAACCTAATGTCCTTCCTTTCACCTGCTGATTTTTCTTTGGGTTAATTATTTGACTTGGTCTCGATCTGAGTCTTTCGCGTCCCTTATGTTCTTTACTGTCTCGATGTTGGGGATTATTTCTACGTTTGCTTAACTCTGATGTTGGCTGTGGAACTTTTGGTGTTGCTGCCGAAAATACTCTGAATTAGATCTACGTTTAGACGTGTTCCCTCTCTCTTGTTGGTTCCTGATTATGATATGTATTTACTTTGGACTATCCCTGTAATGCTCCTAGCAGACGGGATTTGTTATCATTTCTGATATATCCCCTAACCTAGGTGTTGTTTAATTTTACGACTTTCTGTTGTGTCCTAATTACTTCTCATTCTCCCAGATTTTGTTTTGTGGGGTTGGCTGCCTCCGGTTCTATACTTCTGGTAAGGTGTGAGTTCCATTTTGGCTTCAGACGCTGCTTCCGAATTAGTAGTTCGCTTGAACTTGAAGAGGAGGGTGTTAGTTCGTCTACGGTAATTTCATAAGCTTCTTAGGCGGGCTTCTGCAACCATTCCCTTCCCTTAAGAGGGTTGTTCGGGGAAATTTACGCTAATCTTTCGTGTTCCATTTGTCCCTTCCTTAGGATTCTTTCGGGTCTGAGGGATTAGGCTTGTTGTTGGCTCATCTTTGCTCAGATTCCTATCATTCATACTACCCCTCAGATTCCACTGATTTGGGTGGTTCAGACTTGTGTTCCTTACACTTCAGGTTAGCTGATATTTTTGTTATTATCTCTTATCAGGAGTTCTTTCCTGAGATTTTGATTTTTAGAGTTATTATTTCATTATGGTCCTCTTGAGGTTTGTGACATCATCCTCTGGGGGTCCTCTGAGGTTCTGGTGGCTACATTCCCTGGAAACCTAATGAGATATTTTTTATTGCTCTTCTACTTTTCTAGGGGGGTAGAGTTTCTTAGATATTTTTTCTCTGGGGCGCTTTTTAAGGCTTTGGTTTGTTCTTCTCCCTTTTTCTACTCGTCCCTTGCCTTAGACCTGTCTTGGGTGTAGGCTCCCTGTTGAACTAATTATTCCGGAGCTCCCTTACCCTTTTCGAGAGGTGGAACTCCGATCCTTCCTTATTGATTTCTTCTTAGGGTTCTGTGTTCAAAAGTCTTAGGAAACTACGTTTATTGATATATTTATTCAGCTGTGGTTGACTTCGGCTGGTTAGTTCTACGGTTCACTTGGGAACCCTTGAAACAGTCTGTTTTATGGCTGGGCTCTGGTATTTTTTGGCTTCTACTGTGTTTTTGGTATAATCTAGGATGCAGTCATTTTTTGAGGCTCTTACTGCTCACTTCGGATTTTTATTCCTTTAATTCCTTTAACTCATGTTCAGTTATCTTGTTCCGGAGTTTTTGGCTATGGCATTCGCTTTTGAGATTCTTTTAAGTGTTAGTGATTTTTTCCTCTTATGATTCCCTTCTGATTTCTCCAAGTAGAGAAGATCCTCCTCGGCCTTTAGCCTGTAGCTGCTGATTAATTTTGTCTTTGCTATAGATATTTTCCCTTCTTCTTAATCCTTCCTTATTGGGCGTGTACTAGATCTCTTCTCCCTCATTCTTCAAGTTTTGTTCCTGAGATTTCCCTTGATTTACTGCTTGGGATTGGCTTATTTCTTCTCAGTTAATCTCATGATCCCCTTAATAAAGGACTGGATTTTATCTACTGTTAGGCTTTCGTGCTTTATGTTGTCTTTAGGGTTCCCTGGGGGGTTCTTGAGATTTCGTTTAATTCCGAGAATAGGAATTTGGTTTATTAATGAATTATTGAAATACCATTATTTCAGCGCTAGGGCCTCCTCTAAAGTCTTAGGCGTCTTCGTCGTTTACTTTTATTGCACTAGTCTATCGATTTCTTCCCGTTTCAGTTTGATCATTTTGGGTCCTTCTTCTTTTCTCGCATTTTTCTGTTTGAATTTCCTGAATTCTGTTGTCCCGTTTTGGATTTGAATCCTTTGTTCTCTTTTTCGTGTACTATTCTTGGGTAGTGTCCGGTTGTCCATATATTTTTTGCTACACATCCTTCCTTCAGTTTTATCTTTTCTGGGGGAGACGTCCTTATTAGACTAATTATGATTTGTGACCTGTGGGATTACTTTGGCTCTTATTTGTTGTACATGTTGGCTTCCGATGTGGTAGCCTATTGGCTCACTGGTAATTGAACGTATGCGAAGGAAGTCTTCTTTGTTGAGGATGTGCCCGCTGTTTGTTCTTTAAATTTACTCAGTTGTTGGATTATTTGTTGTTTCTTGTGATGGGAGCTATTATGCTCCTTTTCTTCTTTGTTCTTACTCTTACTGGTTCTCGTTTGGTTCCATTGGGCTTCCTCTAGATTCTTCTAATTTAAGTTGTTCCTAATTTGCAGTTTCGGGCTTGAACTACTCAGGTAGCCAGTTGCTCGTTTTGGCCTCATCCGCCATTCTGTCCGCTGCTACGATGGACTTGCGTCTCCCACGTGGGAGGTGGCTAATATTTTAAGGGGGGTTGATTCCTAGTCTATATTTTGTCCTCCTTCGCTATTTTGGTGTTTTATACGTCCGTTGGAAATATCATCAATTGTCACTTGCTTTCGCGGATTCTGCTACTTAGTATTATTGCTGCTCCTTTTTTTTTAGGAGATTATTGTTTCTTCTTTCTTTAGGGTAGGACTATTGGCTGGTTAGTTATTTCTCTGGTTTGGGTGCTTGGTTGACTTTTTTTTCATGGGAGGTGTCTTAGGTAACCTGTTGACTCTTGCTTTAGATTGCTCTTTCGCTCTTAACTCCTCAATTTTAAGATCATACAGCTTTGGGTTTATTGTTTGGGTTTTTTCCCTTTTTATATTTTTTCTGGTTCGTCTCCTCTTGCATCGCTTGGCCCGCTTCTCTTCGGGAGTCGGCTGCTCATGGACTTCCGGTGTCATTCGTCTGGTTGTGTCTCTCTTCTTCTGTATCCTACCAACTCTTTGCTCTTTTGGGTGGTATGTTCGGTCCCTTGACGTTTTCTAGGCTTATAGAGTTGTTGTTTCTGTTCGACTATCTTATTATTCCAGTTGTAACTCAAAGGACTGGGACTTCTCCGATTTGATCTCTTCGATCTGTTCCGTGCATATTATGCAGGGGGCCTGGTCTCAAACACAGGTCGCTTTTTCCCCTCAAGATGTTTCTCTTTATTTTGTCTTTCCCTTTTATTTTGATCTTTGCTCTCATCTTCTGGGGAATGGTTTGCTTCTCAAGTTATCTTGTCGGGTTCCTGTGTTGCCCGCTATTCTACGCTTATGGTTCTCTTTCTCCTTAGTCTTGGCTTGTATTTTTCAGGCATGTCACTGAGTCTGCAACCTTTTCCCCTGGGGGGGAGTCGTTTTGTCTGTTCTACTCATTAATCCGCCAAATCTCTCTCAGCTTATATGATGGGGTGTTATAGCTTCCTCTTTTTTAATAATTTCCTGGTTCTACTGCTCCTCTTACTTTCCCCCTGCTTTTTGTTTGGGGCTTTTTTTGTTTTATACTTTAGGTTCTTGTTGTTTATTCATATCTCCTCTCTTCAATCAGTTTCCTCTGTATGCTCAATTCTACTGGGGGGAGTAGCTTTACAGGCCCTTTTCTTAAGGCTAACCCACTAGTTTTTAGGATTTATTCGTTGCCTTGGTAGGAATTTTTCTCTGCTCCGGTCTGGTGTTGGTTGTTTCTCCTTGCGCCTTTCCTTCTTTCTTTGACATTTCTTTATTGAAGTCGCTTGTGCCACTAATACTTTGGTTATCTATCATTCTTCCCACTGCTTGTATTAATTCCTCGCCAGCTCTCCCTGCCCATTTATTTTTATTTAACTGGCTCTATTTCTTAGAAGTTGGCGGCTTCTCCTGTTTATTCCGGTACTCCTGTTTCGGTCAAAGTTGTTCCTCTTTGTATATTATATAGGGGGTCGCTCCCTTTTTAGCCTCATGAATTATTTTATGGGCTTCAGTTACTATTCCCCTTCTATATAGAGATACTTCCATATCACTCTATAATGTGCAGTCTTGTTGTCCGTTGTGCTTGGTTTATCAAGGTTCCTCTCTTTATTGGTAGGTATGCTCGGTTATTAATTTTATACTTTATAAGTATTTCAGATAGGTTTTAGGGATGTTCTGATAACTGCTTCTGGTATATATACATATTCTTATTCATCCCAGTTCTCCTGGGATTTTGGGTTCTTCATTTTCCTGGTGTATATATATTAGTATTATTGTTAGATCCTCCTTACCCTCATTGGTTGCTTGTTTTGGTCTGGTGTTTAGTCTTTTAATAATATATAATCCTAATGATGGTATGCTATTCCCGCCCAATACGATCCTCCCAGGCAAAGATGTCTTCATTTTCTTCCCCGGCTGAATCTGTAAGATTAATTCCCTTTGCCCACCTGTTTGCCCATCTTCTCCTATGTTCGTAGTTTTTCCTGTCTTGTACTCGTCTGGCATGTCATAATATAGGACTCCATATTTCTCATATGGCTAATTCTTGTAGAGACATACTCGTTGTAAAATTCGGATATTCTTCTTCTTCCCTTCTGCTTATTCCTCTTCTTCTCCTTTTGCTTCCGTTGGTCCGTCGCTTTTTCCTTGCTTCTCCAGTAATTATTGTTTACTGATTATTTTAAATATCCTCTTATGATGTTTATCTTCCTACGTCTCATTCCTTTATATGTTTTATTAAACCTGCTTCAGTGTCTATAGTTTTCCCTTTCGGCTACTTCCGGTGCCGTCCCCTAGCTGACGCTGTTTGTGTTGTCACTGTCTCCTTGTTTACACCAGTTCCTCCTATTCAACGGCGAGTATTGCTTAATCTATTTTTTTATGGCGCAAATGCCATATTCCTCTTTTCCTTCGTTTTGTTTCTTCTTTCCTTTGTGTTTTCTGTCTTTTTCCCCTATAATATACACTATGTCCTTTCATTAAGTTCCTAACCATTATATGATTCTTTCCCTCTATTCTATATTATCTTACTTATTTAGTGCTCAGCAGGTGTTGACAGCTTCTTCTAGATCATCCCTCATGATATTCTATATAGCAAAGAAAATATCATATAATCCACAACATTCTGTACCCAGCTACTTAAACAGTTATTCGTCTGTCATCTGGGGCATAAATGCATATTATGATAATCTATCGAAATATAAATAGCTCCCTTCTTATTCAGATTATTCTCACAAGAACTCACCAATAATTTCGAAAATTCCGGTTATTTAATCACGTGGAATAACACACAATAGATTCATAAAACTATTGGACTCATTATTAAGGGAGGGAATTTTTCTATTATGGTCTATATACCCATATATCATTACACTTAAAACTGATATAAGAACCATATCACTGCCAAAATGATCATGTATTTATTCACTTCCTCTCATTGTTCAGAAGAATCTCATAACTCTATGGTGGGGTAAGACTCCTTTATAGGACATGTCTTTATGTCAATAGGGGAATGTATGCATTGTATAGGCTTATACTCTCTTATGCATAAAAGGGGTTATGAATACCACTTAACATTTTACATTCTTGAGTGGTTAATAAGGAAACACCCTTTATAGCATCCTCTATAGTCTCAAATACGGACAAAAATGAAGTTATTGTACGACTTATTATACTCCATGAACTCAACACAGATTCAAGATATTATCTGTTTTTATTCTTTTGTCTATATGTTAGAAAACATGAAACCCCCGACTTCATATATCTAGCTTGTGAGAGGGAAAGATCTGCTACTCACATTATTCCTTATTTGTCACCCCTACTGTTTTTCTTGATTCTATGCTTTGGGTGTAGTGTCTAATCTTCATCCCCTGAGCATGTTTCCTTGTATCCCTTCTCCTTGAGTTGTCTCCCTTTTATTTATTAATTATTTACCTTTCCTTCTAGGCATTTCTACTTTGATCGTCATGTTGATATCTCCACCGGTTTGTGGTGTATTTATATGGTGTTACATAGATCTCTCTCCGTTCTTTGAAGTAGATAATTTTCTCAAATATGTCAGTTGTATTCGTATATACATTCTATTATAGTCATCCGCTGCTATATGGTGGCTCCTCCCCCTCTCAGATTAATGATTCTTTAATATCTTATGTGTATTGCTATTCTTATGCTCACTTTATCTCGTTCGCTCGTTCCATGTTATTATTATTCCCAACTCTCCACGAGTAACAGCCTTCTCTATATAGTACTATTCTCTTTAGAATCTGTTATTCTCCCCTAGGGTATAAGAAGTTTAATCTTTCATTTCACATAATTGCTATATTTTAATAGTACCGCATCGATTTCGAGTCTTGTTAAGAGGAAAATACTACAGATTAAACCAGGTGTGCAAATCTTCCGTAATCATTGTCTCTTAATAGTACCGGGATAATTATTGAATCTATATTACAATAATATTTAGAGGGAATAATCACAGTTCACGACGTATTACTGTACTTACAGTTTTACTTTGCCTATAAAAAGTTCTTCCTACATATAAGCAACCTTGGTATGTTGAAACCCCTTTTAGTGATAGTATCCCTCAGTTTCTTATACAGCATGAATAGCCTTAGGATTGGTTTATGCGTATTCCTGGAATGGAATTATTTTACAAGCCAGTGTATTGGTGAGATGGTATGATCTTTACAACTGCCGTCCTCCTGAAGGAATTCGACTCTCTAAACCTTTGTATTATCTTAAACAATTTTCCTCCTCATACAGCACTGTTGTAGATAGAATATTACCCTTGACAGAGGCTTATTCTCTAAACACTTGTTGTAAGGACGATTCTTAGAGTTTATACAAATATACCACAGGCATCTCGTATCTTCTATATATATGTAACCCTTAGTGATTGGAACCCCTCCAAGAATACCGCTGAATCCACTCTATTATCTCTTACTAGATATCTCTTTTTAAATTATGGTGCTTCCTGCTTTAAATCTTGACGACTCCACAATAGTGACTCTGGGGATTCTTTTACTGTTTAGGCAATGATACTCTAGAGAAAGGTTTCCTTCTCACATACTTAACAATGGTCGCGAAAAATGTATTCCTTATATATTAGTCTTCCAAGGAAGTGTATATCCTCCGCCTCATTCTATCGTTCAAATAATAGGACCCGTTGGCCTAACTTTGCCATATAAACGTATTGTAGGCACAATTTTAACACTTGCACATTTATGCTTCTGATATAATCTTTTCTCATGGAGATCCGTTATTTTCAGGCAATTATATTTTTCAAATAAAAGAATTGTAAATGGTGAACGTTTCGCAGAATAATATTCAGGAGACATGTATACAGCAGACAAAATAATACTGGAGGTATAGACGCATGGTTTATATAATAGGAGTGTATGCTAAGCGTACATTCTAAAGGCCCGTAGTCCTGGGGGGAGCGATATTTTTTAAATAATACTACACATAAATCATTATTCCTCAATTAGTCACGTTCTCCAATTAGTCGTATCTAAAACCCTATGTTATGAGGCCTTCACATAAGAGCCTTCCTGCGACAGTGTACATTACAAACAAGATTTCCGCTAGCATCCTTGCATTGTCCCTAGGCAAGTATTTCTGCTTCTATTTTATTACTCCGCCAATAATACATTCGACACAGCTATAGCGCTTGCACCTGCGCGTGATTAATGGCTTGCTCTTTTCCTTAGAATGTATGCCTCAATTCTTCACATAATACTATTTCATAGAGATCTATACGCATCAATGACTGTTGTCTCCCAAAGAATAGGAAGCGAAATTTGGAACAAATAGCCCTCAATTCAGACACTTTTGCATTTTCGATGGCCATATTGTAGGAAAATCCTTATCTTTCAAAGCACGGTTCTTGAGAATATCGGTATCTCTCATACAATACTGTATTTTGAATATCATTGCACTCCACAGAATGCCACTTCCCATTTTCCCTTCTCTCTACATATCATATGAGTGCAGGGACAATAATTTCTTTCAAATGAATGTGCTACCACCCTTGTCTTAGTTATATAATATTTTGCCTTCCTTACAATAACAATATAACCGGTAAACCTCTACAATAATATTCCTGATACAGCTGTATTCTTTACCAGCATTGACACTTTAGACCCATGGGTACTGTTTATATCATCCTACCTTTCCTATAATAAGACACCCAGTATATTCGTCTACTACTTAGAATGTTGTCATTTATACATTACCATTCTTGCCAGGGACGACGGATAAAGATAACGATACGGCATGCATGTTTATACACTTTAAATCATAGTACTCCTTGTACATTAGTATTCACTTTACAATCTTATGCTTAATATATTGATACTCCGCAAACATCCCCACTATTCACATAATAGTAGTCTGGGAATGTTACCAGTGGGAGTGAATAAGTAATTCTTAGACAATACTCCTTCACGCACATGTGTACACTTGCTCGAGTGGTACTCCCCCAATCATGCAGTTCCACAGATTATACGGCTGTTAATATAATAACACTCCAGGGAGTGTTATGAATTCCGGAATAGGGTGCTTTGCCTATAATAGAAGCCTAAACGGTAGGCCATGAAGTTGCAAGGTTTTCAATAACTCTGGTCTTTCGATATCCAGAGTCCCACCACAATTGTGTACTCCAAGACATCACACTAGGGAGATATGAGTACACTCACAAGACTGCGCCGCAGATCATCCGTACGTTTTATACAATTATGCCCGTAAATGGACAGTACTTTGCAGATATCAGCATAGTCCAACCATTGATACCCACATATAACAGTACTACGAGAATCTCCGCATCCGTCATCATGGGAAATGGGGACACATTAGTACTTCCTTGTCATCTACCTTTGTAGAATATGCATGCACTTCATAGAATATTACCCTACGAATAATGACACCCCTCGAAAATCAGTATCCTTGACACAATAATACGGTTAACATTATAGTACCCTTGGCATAGCTCTACTGTTTAGACAAAATGATTGCAGGCCAACTGTCGGATCTGCAGAATAGCCCAAGTCATATCATCCAGCCATTAAACCAACATGAACACCCTTCAAATAATGTTATTCCAAGGACAGTTGTCCTCATCAGGACAAACTATTCTGTACATAACATCAGTGTTCTTCAAGTAATCGTGCAATTCACACACCCATGAGTCCCACAGAAGTTTACCTCCCATACGGAGGTACTACGGCAGTTTCCACACGTTGTGTAACGGTGGCACCGCCTCATACGGCACAAAGCTAAGTCATGAATTCTACACCCAACGTTACTTTACTTAATGATACCGGCTTAACTTCGGCACTCATCAAATGGCATCGTACAAGCCATATCGGGCATCCTTAGATATGAGTACTATACATACATCTATAGTGTCCCCATAACAGTACTCCAAGTCATGAATACTCCTTCAGAGAATATCCTGTTCAAATGGAAGTATTATCCACAAAACACTACTGTGAACAGGACGGTACTTTCTG